CCTCGCCCTCAGCCTCGTCCATGCCTGGGAACGGACTGAACAGCAGGCCAGAACCGGCACACAGCCGGGCCCGGTCACTCACCTTGCTATTGAGGCTGAGGCGTCCGAACTCCTCCGTGTTGCCCAGGCCGGCCTGGCCGATGAACATGGGCTGCGACGAGTTGATGCCGCGCAGGAACTTCCTCAGTCGGTCCATGCGGATGTAGACGTCGTCGTCGGCGCGCATGAACCACTCGTACCTGCAGCACGACGCCGCTGGGTCACAGGCCGCTAGCGCAGGGATCAATGATCAGCCGAGCTGACAGGGCTGCAACAGGGTTGCAACCAGCTGTAAATAGCTGCCGAGCTGGCGCCGTGCGGCGGACGGCACGATTTTGCCAATGCACACGAGTAACATCTGCCGCCCTCCGAGGTACCTGGGCTTTGCCCGTCCCGCAGCCGCCGGGAACACTCACAGAGCGGGATCAGATCTATGGTGCTGGCGGTGGCCGCTGAATAGGCGGGGTATCAACGCCGTCCCGCTGGATCCTTAGGCGTAAAAAACAACGGTGTCCAGCGAAACTTTATAACTGCCAAGAAGATCCTCATAGACGTTTTGGTCACATATCCAAAGGACCCCATGAATCAATGCGTCGACCGTTGACCTCCGCAAAGACCATGAAACTAACAAATTTAAACATTTGACGGTTGCTGAAAGCTGATCCCACATTTCTAACAGTTCTAAAAACTGTAGCCCGCTTTCTCATGGACGGCTGCTGACTCAGCGATGTTTTATGGGGCGTCATGAAATAAGTCTAGAGTTTAAATAAACAATGTAAATAAACAATGTAAATAAACATGGGCACACTTCCCATGGTTGCGCTTCCCAACATTTCAGGTTATATTTATGTTTATTTTATTGAAGGCCATCCCGTAATGGTTGCTCTGCGCCTAGGTCGTGCAGGAAAGAAAATCGCACACGAACACAGAGATACACACATACGCACAGTTGAATGCAGTTTCAGTCGATGAGTCGGCGACTTAAAACAGTCAAGATTGCCCGGCGTGAGGGGGCGCGGACGGCCGCCGCAGGCGCCCGTTCCACGCGCGGCCACGCGTAAGCGAAAATGCCGCTGGGGTGGCGGTCAGACGGACACGCGGCAGATGAAACGGGACGGCACCGCACGAAACAGCCCCAGTTCGGCGTTGGGAAGACTGTAGCGGGCGTCATCAATAGAGCACGCAATGCACGGGAGATTCGGGGACGCGCAGTGCCCCGCACACCGCCAGGCAGTCGCGGTGGTGCGCATGATCTGTAACGCTGCACCAGCCTAGTGCTCCCGGGACAGGTGAGATGTGATCGCTACGACGGACACCGCTCGCTAGCCCGGCTGTGAAGCGCATCACCCTTTGCATCTCGTCTAGGTGATGCATGACCGCTCCACCCCAGATGGGCAGACAGTAGAGGATGTGGGCGAAGACGTGAATTTGGACAAGGAGATTCAGGACCTCAGCAGTGAAGCGGTGTCGAATTTTGAACAGGGATGCGAGGATTGCATTACAGCGCATTAAGACAGGATTACGTCATTACTAAGAGAGGAGATGTGGGCTTCCCACGTGAGGCCGTGGTCAAGGAATGCGGTGTAGTACCTTTACTGGGGATGATGGATGAATGTGCCCGAGAAAGTAATGTGGAAGTTGTGTTGTTTGTAATGGAGGGTTTGGCGCCCATCAGCATGAAGTCTGTCTTTGTGAGGTTCATTTTAAGGCTGTTTGACTGAAACCAGTTTTGGAGGGCACTGAATGGACTCCTCGACACGGGCTTAAGGCTGGACAGGCCGACGAAATCGGGGGTGGCGGAGCCAGGGAATTGGGTGTCATCGGCGTAGGATAGTAGGCGGGGGGGGCCGTGGATAGGTTGTTGATGGATAAGTTGACGCTGGATAGGTTGTTGATGAAGACGGTTGGGCCCGACATCACCGGGCCATCCCGTGTGGTAGGGATAAGGTAACCGAGCTACCCCGAACCATCTGCTCCCGACCGCTCAGATAGTCTCAGGAACCATTCCGAAGAGCATAGAAATGGGACGAAAGTTTGTTCAGGTCTGATCGGTCGCCCGAACTTGAACACCGGAGTGACGCGCGCGGATCTTCCAGACGGAATGGAAAGGTGCGTGGTGTGATGGAAAAGTTGATCAGATTGTAAAAGATGAGCGCCGACTACTGGTAAATATTTTCACACTGCATAGAGCGGTGCGCCATCGACACCGACAGCCCTCGACGCGCTCATCTTCCTGATGGCTGCAGAAAGCTCCGGAAGTGTGGTTTGGATGCAGGGAGAACGTCGGTGCACAGACACGGTACGGGTGCGGTTCAGCCGGGGGCGCACCCGCATTACCACGCGCCGCCGTCGCCTCCGCAGCGATGCCACCGATGGGACCAACGGTAGCGAAGTGGGCATTGAGTGCGTCCGCTCGGGTGTCCATGTCGTAATTGGGTGCTTCGCTTATTGTCAGATCAGACACGTACGGCTTAGTCCGTAATACCAGTTTTCTCGAAATGTTCCTGAAAAGCTCATAATTTCGATTTAAAATAGTCCGCTTCGCTCCTGGGGGAGAAATCTAATTTACTTCCCGCTCACCACTGTGAATTAATACATTTTATTTGCCTTGCTTTCTCAGCGTGTGTGTTCTGCAGTGTTTGCAACACACCAAGGTGTCAAAAACGTTTGTGTAATAGATGTTGCTAAAGCTTGACACATTCTGTTTCGACAAGAAGAATGCGAATATGAAGCTGTCATCCCGCGATGCCAGCGGAACATTATGTTATGGCTTTGGAGGGTGCACTTTAACTTTGGGAATAGGAGTATTACCTACCTGGTCCATAGTGGATACACTGGTTCAAACTATAGCCCGTGGCAATGTTCGGTAACAGCCCCTTGCCGCCCGCTGAGCCAATCACAAACGTTCTTTTATTCACACTAATAAAGGTGCGCGCAGCGTTGTCATGGTGATGGTCGTCGCGAATGCAAGGAAGAAGTGCAATGCTGTTACAAAGCGTACCACTCATTGCAGCGTAATTCGGACTCGAAAATACTTTCGATTGATATCTCTGGTAATGCCTTGACGGTGCTGGCAGTGGCATTGTCCAGTACTATAATTAGACGTAACTAGTCCTGAGGTTTCACTGAAGTATGCTTTTGAAATCGCCCCAAGATGGGACGCTCCTTTCACGACAGGAATCCCGCCGATGACGGGCACGCCGTGACCGAACAGTGACAGTCACACTGCTCTGACGGGCCCCACGAACCGCTGACGAACAAGCCGACACCACTGCCCAGGTGTCAAAAGTTCCGCTCGCGCCCCCGGCCGGCTCCGTGCTGCGCCCCGTGGGAACCATTATACGGACTGTGGGCCCCAATTAATGGGCGGCATTAGTGGGCCAGCGCAGCGGCCGGTCGTCACAATACCGGCGGAAGGGCTGGCAGTGACGGATACGGTCACAGATCACTGCTTTGGGACGACAAAGCTGATGCCTCACCCGGGCTTGTCGGGCGCCGGTGCCCGCCATCAGGGAGCGACAATTATTTTCAGCTGACACAGTTGGTTCCAGCCTAGACTGTGAATGAATTGTGTCATTTTCCCGTCCATTCGTTTGTCCAGTGTGTGTGTGTGTGTGTGGATCCCTACAAAAGCTAACCCTCTCATTGCTAAGGATAAGGGGAGGGGTTGCGACCCTCTCCCTGTGATTTTTCGAGGACGCCTATCCGGCATGTCACGTGACCGCGCTAAAACTTTGAGTAGCCCGTGGCGTCAAACGCACTGCTTTGACACCAAACACATGCATCTAACACGTCTGGTTTCTGCTTCGCAGCGGTTTTTAGGGAACACTGCACAGTGAGCAGCGGCCGGCGCAGATGACGGGCGCCAGCCGACGGCTCCGCCGATCCCGCGTACGACGGCACGACACTGCTGCATTTAAGGGTATGTTTCGCATTTGAAGATAATGAAGCGAGCACCAGATATGATGAAACAGGCTCACTTGTATCCTTTTGTATAATCTTGGAACACAAAAGGCTGCTCTAGACGGCACAATTTCTCTGTCCAGTAAATATGCTTCTCGATACGTTTTTGTTTGACTACGTCATAATATCTTGCACAGCATTGATTGAGGGCATAATGACGGCCGCTGAATCGCGAAATCGTGCATACAAATGCCAGACATGAGCGACTCCACCATCACAATTGTTTGGCCTTGATCGTCGCATGGCTTATGGAATGGCAGGATTTGAATGACGTTGTGATGACGTTGATGTTATGACGTTAAGACGGCGTAAATGCCACGGTGACCTTGAGATGCTCTCCCGAAAAAATCTCCCGAAAAAAATCTCCCGAAAAAAATCTCCCCAAAATCTCCCCTCCTGAGTACGATCTCCACCAGCGATCAGCGGGCGAAAAATGTCATCCTACCAGGTCCAATCTACGGAACAATACAACGCCAGGTCGTTGTCACGTGGCAGTGACGCAAGAGGACCGTACATTAGATGTTATCATTTCCTGCTCTTGGTGGCATGATCAGCCGAGCATGTGCTAACAATGGCACGCCACCGCACGCCCTCTCAACCCAGCCTTTTTCTCGCTTTGCGCAAAACCACGATTTTGGCGCATCCCGTCCGATTCCGTGCCAGCAGACGGTGGTGGCGGTAGCGCCTGGCCGGTCCAAAGACGCAGACGCGGGGAGGGAGGCCACACGGACAGCACCCACCACCCCACCGCCGGACTACCAGCACCCGTCCCGGACCACCGGCACCCACTCCGCACCACTGGCACCCACTCCGGCCGCTGGCACGTGCTCCGGAACTCTGCGAACTCTGGAAGTCTCCCGTAGCCGGTACTCACTTGTCGATGTAGTTCTCGTACATGTGTTTGAGCATCATGAAGGACTTCTTCTGCGGCGGGTACTGGTCAGTGACCCCACGCAGGCGTACGATCGGCAGATCTGCGGAAGTGGAGACGACCTTGGTCACTGCAGAGTGGATCCGAGCAGCATGCGAGGAAGCGGGATGGACGGCGCGCGCACCAAGCCCCTGCTCTGCCATCACCATAGCACCACTTCTCACATCGAAGCCACGCACCGCTGTGATGATGCGGAGCTTTGATTCGCCGACAGTAATGACGCAAAGCGAGCGTGGAAGATAACTCTCACAGTTTGTTAGAGGTGATGTTTCATGTGAAGTAAAGGCGCCTTGCGCGACAACACTTTCCGCGTGAAATGCACGGCCCAGCACGTTGCTCCGGGACCATTAATCAGCGGCAGAAATATGGGCATCATCATCGTGAGAGAGAGGCGCGTGCGTCGGCCGTGACCCGTTTCGTCCCAGGGTCGCCGGCTGCCAGCGCTTTGTCCGCGCCCGCCGTGGGCGAGGGATGCGGCCGCGGAGCCCCATCCACCGCCTTCCCGCCGTCCCACGTACGGCACTGCGTCCAGTTTGTGTCGAGCGCACCGCCAGATGTCCCAGGCGCCGTGCCGTGTGGCGTCGCATGTGGTCCGCCCCATCAAATTCCCCGTACCCGCTCCGCCCCACGTCTCACGTCCACGTAAACGTCTCACGTCCCATGTTCCACGTACCGCGAGGGGCCACCAGACGTCTCGGATGTGAAGAACTTGACCTTGCCTGGCACAGCCCTGGCCCCACGTCTCGTGCACGGCCACGGCGCGCGAGTCGAGAAACTGGTCAGCCGTCATCACGCCGACGAACAGCAGGTCGGTGCCTCCCGGCTCGTCGCTGGCCGGCGGCTGGGTGCTCGGCCCGACCCGGCCGCGCGCCGTCGCCGCCACCGCCGCCGACGCCGCCTCCGTGGCCATCATCTGCAGGTTGCGCGGCGTCCGGTGCAGCGGCCGGTCTTGCAGCATGAGGAAGAGGTGCACACCCAGCACCATGCCGACCAGCGTCGAGGCGACGCATCCCAGCCAGTGCATGTTGAGCCGACGGCACGACCGCTGCAACAGACAGACGAGGCGCCGGTCAGGCGTACGCAGGCTCCACGCAGCGCCAGCGCCAGCCACGACACGTCCAGACGGCATGCCCCATTGGCCACGGGCACGTCTCTGGTGTGAGGTCACGTGCGACTACGTGCCGTACTTCGCGACGACGGGTGAATACACGTCCGAGATGCACGGAACTCGATCGGTCAGCGATTAATGTCAATGCCCCCGCTGACCTCAACGGTTAATGTGGTATTTAGACGATTTCACCGGCGAGTTGCTGGTTTGCTAGGTCAACCGTTGTTCGGCGCACGGCATTATGAGCAGGAAATACGCGATCATGGAGCTGCGCGCAATAAAGCGAAAGCCTGGTCATCCCGTGCAAAGAAAATCTAGCCTGCTGCACCAGTTCATCGCGTACGGAGGCGGTCTACATCTGGTTTACGGTAGCCACGCCGATGAGGAGAACGTGTCAGGTCAGAGCCGCTCGACAAGACGTCCTACGAACGACCCGCGGCTGTCGGTCAATGGTCGAGGCGGCTCGCTCCAACATATCCGTCATGATTACGTCATTCATTAGTCGTCCCTCCATTTGCCTACATTTGAAGTCACGAGTGATGCTGTCATGCTTTCCCCGCGTCACTAGCGCGTTATCGGACGTTCCTGTTGCCCCCCCCCCCCCCCCCGCCCCTTCCCCCGTCGTGCCCATCTCCGACCCCACCGCCACTTTTGCAGGCGCTGACTGTTGCCACCCTGTCCCGGGAGGGCCCGCTCGGTGCCAGGTGGTCCGGCGCCACCCCAGGTCGGTGAGAGCCGCCGTGTGTCGGGACTGACCGGGCTGACCCGGTCGTGAACACTCGGCCAGCGCCCCCTGTCGACCGGTATTCTGCGGCCGGACGCCCAGACGACGAAGCCGCAGGACGCCCAAGGACGTCGCCGCAGGAGCGGGACCTGTCTTTGGGGCGGGGTCTGTCCGTGGACCGGGACCGACATGTGGGGCGGGGCCTGTCTGCGGACCGGGACCGGTGGACCGGGACCGACATGTGGGGCGGGGCCTGTCTGTGGACTGGGACCCACATGTGGGGCGGGGCCTGTCTGTGGACCGGGACCGACATGTGGGGCGGGGCCTGTCTGTGGACCGGGACTGACATGTGAGGCGGGGCCTTCTGTGGACCGGGCTTCGGCAGCGGGCTGGGATCACTTCGTCGACTGAGATTCGTGGGATTCGTCTGTAGGTCGGGACCTGTCAGTGAACTGGGTTCGCGTGCGGCCTGGAACCTGTCTGGACTGCGTGCCATCGGCGTACCAAGATCATCATCCGTGGACCGGAATCATCCGTCTGAGACTAGGACCCACCGTTGGACTGAGGCCACCTTCTACGGACCAGGACCCATCCGCGGACCAGGATCCGTCGGGTGCGGATTTCAGATCTCAGTGGAGTGCTGTCCACGCTGCCCCTCAGCACTATGACGCCACCCAGAGGTCAGGCGCAATGCAGCTGAACATCATGGCGGGTTATGGTTGAGGGGTAGGTGAT